CTGTACTGGTAGACATACAGCACAGCAAAAGCAGTCAAGGAGATACTATACATTTTCAGTACATCCTACGGGCTTGAAATACCGTAATCAATATTTTATTAGAAGCATGAATGCAGAAGTCTATATTTTATGTCAAGCGTATGCTTGTGAAATCAGGGAGAGGGGGAAGTGAACAGGAAAACAGTCTTGCATCTACTGGCTCAAGAGTTCCATCTACCTGATTAAATGATCTGACAGTCTGCTTTTATTTTCAGTTCAGATCCATTAATACAAACGATACTTAAGAAATACTCCAGAAAGTACTATGATCTCAAAGCAAGTCCCCTCCATCTACTCTTCAGAGACTCAGAATAGTACAGACTGCAAATTCTGGGAGAAAGCATATCATAGCAAGGAGAATCAATTGTAGGGGCTATCTACGTAATGCAGGAATCAACATAGTAGCTCCTGAGTTCATACTTCCATGAAAATGGAATAGCAATTCTATTTTTCCACACAAGAGTACAGGAGATGTCTTGAGAGGGGGAGGTATTATCCATTTAACCCTTTCTTTGTCCACTTAGCTTTCCAGAAGAATAGCATACCTGGCTTAGATTCCACTGACATTTACAACACTAAGCATGGCATGAGGTGCTAGTGTTCAAAGGTTTGATTGTCCAAAAGCAGAATGAACATGAATGGGAAACAATTTTTTCAGAACACGATCCTGCATGTGTAGCATATTTACCCAATATTGGTTTCCCTTGTAGCAGGCTGGTTGCCAGAAGTTTCCCTTTGTCTCAAGCCATCACTTGAAGAAACAACAGAAGGATCTTGACCAGGTTTTGAAACAGTCTTTGGCGGTTTCTTGGTTTCATCAATCTAAATAATAGTAGAATACATACTGGGGTTGATTCAGAACAGTATCTGAGAGAAGTGATCTGTTCCAAAGCTAAATTGCTGTACATTTGTACAGTTTGACTATGAGCATTGCACAATACAAATAGTCATAACTATTGTTATAACCAGGCCTTCCATACATATTATGTTTCCAATACTCTGAAAGGTGACCTAAGAAGGAAAAAAATAGTTGGTGGGGTGGGTCAAAAGTCTTAGGACATAGAACCAAGGTTTTTTTTAAGTGTTTAAATACACCTGTTGCACTACAGAAGCTCTAAGATTAAAAAACCAAGCATAAAAAAAGTTATTCTTAGGGTCTTTTTATATACCATAAAGAGATCACTAGCTTCACCCTCTCAATTATCTTTCCTTTAAAAGAGCACAGGCAAAAGAATGTCTAACTACAAGTGTAATATGAGAATCTTTCATGTGTATCTGATTTTGGAGTTTATGAAATAAAGTCTACATTCCCAGCAATATGTGGGTGGCTGCTCTGCAAACTGCCCTACAGAATTAGGACAATGTGCCTTAATCAAAATATCACAACACTAGCGTTGCGACAAATATCCAACTGGAATTAGGACCTACTGCATGTTGTTCACTTTTTGATTTAAGGAAGAGTGGAAATGTAGGTCTTGACACATGAAGCTTGAGCATTAGTTAATACAACCCAACTGAATCAGAAAGATATTTGTACACAATACCATAAGACAGTGGACCCCAACCTTTTTGATACAGGGGACCAGCAAATCCATTCAAAATGTTACAAACTTTTGACACAGGTATTTACATATTCATTATACGAATGATTATTGTGCAAACATGCAAATAAAATATCAGTCTGTCAAAAGCCCAGCCTCCAGGGCCAGCACTAACTCCTAGAGCCCCTCCACTACCCCCCCGCCCCATGCCAACCACTGATCCCAGAGTCCTACACCCAACCCCCTCAAAATGCCTCAGGGATAGCTCCCCTACTACTTAAGAGTCCGTGTCCCCCCCCCCTCCGATCCCTCAGTAGCAGCTTCCTGTTTTGAGCCCCACTGCACCTCCCCCAGAGACAGCTCCCAATATTAGCCCTTTCTCCAGAGCCCCACAGTGCCAGCTCTGCCTCCATAGCCTCTCCCCCCCCACTCCAACACTAGCTCTTCCCTGGAGCCCCCACCCTGCTCTCCTCACCTAGCCCTGCTGCCTGCATCGTAGTGGCTCTGGGAGAGAGCTGGGGTACACAGCCCAGGGCCTCCCCTCCTGCTGCAGCTATTGAAAGGTGCGCCCTGCCCTGCCTCTCAGACAACCAGCAGCGCTGGGCAGAGGTGGGGTCTCCTCTGGTCGCAGAAAAGCACTTCTCTGCTCTACGGGAGGGCTGTTCGGTGTCTCTTCCCGACTATGGAAGAGCGCTTCCTTGCGCAGTGGGAGGACTGCACAGAGCAGCTCCCAGCAGCCCTCCCACCACACAGGGAAGTGCTCTTCCGTGGCCTGGAGGAGATGCCACCCCTGCCCAGCACTGATTGGCTGAGAGGTGGGGCCCAGGCCCCAGAGCCACTGCATCCTGGCAGCGGGTGGGACCAGGCAGCTAGGAACCACAGCCATATGATGGCACAACACCCAATACATTAAATTGAAACTAAAGTCAGTATTAGAAATTCAATTTCTTGTTCCACATGTTTTTGCCAAAAAAAGTCCCAGCAGAATACATGTGGACACTCCCTATTCAAATGTTAGTCACGTCTCTCTCCCTCTGATTAGCATAACCATTAGTATAATTTAAGTTCCACATAGCTCTTCAGATGTCTCAGCTCAAACTTAGAACAGTCCTTGCTTTGTGCTTCCAGTACTGTTTTTAAATGTAGAAATGTTCTTCCTCCAGCCCTATTACAACGCTGAAGCAATACTGCCACACCACTTACAGTGACAGAACTTTGGACACACAAGACTTACCAGCCAGTTATGGTAATACTGTCAATCTTTACAAACATGCAGGAATTAAGAGCTAGGTCACAGTCCAAACATTTTTGTTGATCCATTCAATACATAACGTAGGACGAAAACTGCCTAAATTTAACATACCTTTGCACTGGCTTCTTGCATTGTTGACAGATTCAAGCGGTACACGAGATGCAGAGCATGAAACTTCTCCTGCTAAAATAAAGGTGTTTTAAATAACCATTTTTAAACTTCACTTGACTCCTCTTGGTACTGCAGTGCAGCTACCACACCACAAACATGCAGTTACCATACCTGGGGCAGAACATCTCTCAAATAAAGATGGTCAAGTAGCAGCTTCCCAGAATAAATCAGCTTCTGGTCCTCTTCAAGCTTTGAGAGAAGACATGGTATACCGTTACTAATCTGTCAAATGCCTAAAGTCAGCTTCATAAATGAAAAGCTGTGTAAGGAAAAGCTGACTGATGATCAGAGAAACACTACTTTCCGATATACAAGTCATAAATGCTACTTCCCTGTCAACTTCAGTTCAAATGGGAAGGGATGTGGCTTAATATTTCATTATTAAGAAATAATGTGGCTTGTAAACATTAATTCAGGCCTCACCTTTAACAAAAGCAACCCATGCCTGTGGGGTGCACTGGCCCACAATTGGTTAACCAATTAAACAGAATTTTACATCCCTACTGAGCAGCACTGCAGGCACTTGGTAATCTTTATGACAATTCTAATCATTTCCCATCCAGTAAATTGGAGCAGCTGTTTACACAGACATCCTCCTTGGAACACAGTAACTGAGTTGCACAAGAGCAAGAGATCCCAAGTTCCCCTCCCTACAGGAGAATGTCAGCTCTGCTAGCCGGCAAAGCTAAAGTCCTTCAGCTACTTCCAC